GACTCTCAGATGACTCAATTTAAAACAGCACTGAGGGCGCCTGGGTGGCTCAGTCAGTTAAGCATCTGCCTTCGGCTCAGGTCGTGATCCCAGGCTCCCGTGATCCCAGGCTCCTGTTCAGTGGGGAGCCTGCTTCTCCCTCTCCCTCTGGCCCTCCCCCCCACTTGTGCTCTCTCTCTCTCTCTCTCTCACTCTTTCTCAAATAAATAAAATCTTTAAAAATAAATAAGTAAAACAGTACTGAAAACTTACACTTAGCTTATACCAATAGAAGCAGTCAGAATTGCTTTACAAACATGAAAACACTATTACTTTATTAGATAACTAATATGGGTAAATTATTTTTAAGGAAGGGAAAAAGATGACCCAAATTAAAAATTGCTTACCCATAATTCAAACACCCTGAGATAATATCCCTATTAACAATTTGTTATATTTACTTCCAGCTTCTTATGTCATTGCATATATGCCTTGCCATATATCATTACTTTTAAAACATAATATGTGTTCGTGCATTATTTTCAGAAATATCTATAGATTTCTATGAATATGAATCTTATAACTCTCTATGATCTAAGTTCTTTATATCTTTGTAACATTCATTTTCACTTGAAATTATATTCCTTTCCATAGCAACAAATATACATTGATAGCAACATTAAATAGTAGCACCAAATTCAAATGCATCATTTGCCATCATCTGGATAGACCGTGATTTATCCTCTCAATGCTCATTGCTGGACATTTAGATGTTTTTCACTATTCATACTGCTGTGATAGGCATCCTCGTGGATAAATCTTTTAATCCTTTCTGCAAAATTTCCTTGGATAAAAGTCGAATTGCTGGGGGTATGAGCATATGTGCTTTTAAGGCTACATATACACACGGCTAAATTGCCCTCTGGAAAGTTATAAAGATAGTGATTCTTGGATGTCTTGTACACTTTTAATTGTGCTAATATCAAATGGTGTTGGTAAATGTCCTGACAAACAGAACTCCCTCATTCAATGCCAATTATTACCACCGGCTTATTATAATTGTGCTTAAACAATGGTCACAGTGAAAATGGGAGAATCCACTGAAATGCTGACATAATCGCAGGGATTGTGGCGTGGATCTTGTCCTGCCCAAGTTTTGTGTCCAGTCGAGGGGACAACTTGGCTTTGCTGCTATAAATTGGTCAGCACCAACCCCAGTCAATTCTCTTTTAGAGGCAACTATCAGTAGGCAAGATTTGGGGGGGGGGAGTATTTGTCATGTCACATTTGGAGAGTATCATATTTGATTCCTGAAGGGGGTGAAACTTGAGACATTTAAGAGAGTGATGTGTACACAACAGTGAGTTCAAGCAGGGTTTCAATTGTGTATTTTCAAATTATCTGGCAGGGAAATTTGAGTGTGTTTGGTTTTTCTTTGTTCATAAGTATTTCTAATTCACAATATCTTTTAAGAAAGTTACTTTGGTCCTGCAAGAAAGAGTTAATGAGGTGCTCGGGAAAAGAGAGGGATTAGGAAGAGGTAACCTTGACTTCAAACGTTTGATCGCAACATGGCCAATCTCATTGCTTTCACAGCAAGATGCACCAGAATGGATGTCATCTGATGTTGGTCACCCAAAAGAGGAAGGGAAGGGAAAAGAAGACAAGTTAGAATAATTCTTGATCTACTGACTGCCTTGGCACACCCAAGGGAGGACATATTTCAGATAGAAATCCTAAGGTTGCAGGTAACAGAAAATCCAATTCAAGCTGGTTTAAGTAATAAAGGAGATGCTCATGAAAAGTCTAGCGATGCTTGATCAGTTCAACAAGGCACCACGGAACAAGTTTTTCTTTGACTCTCTTCTGTGCTTTCCCCCACATCTTCAACTGGAGGCTGGCAACCCTCATGGGCACAAGATGGCTGTCAGCAACTCCCAGGGGTATCTGCTTCTCCAATTATAGTCAAAGAGGAAAGAGGACCTCACTGCCTGTGGTTCCTCAAAAGATCTAGGAATCATGCTTTCTAGAAGGCCCTGACAAATGTCTGCTTGCATCTCATCTGCCCAAACTACATCACATGACCATTCCTAAACCAGTCACTGTGATGGGGGATGGGCTGTGTTTGGCTTCAGCCACTCAGGACCACCCCTGCTGCTGGTCCCATGACTATTTCCCAGAGTGCAAGTGCCCCCATGGGGGAGGGGCAAATGGTCTAATGAGGGAACTAGTAGCAAGAGGGAGAGTGAAGCGATCCCGGAGTGTGAGGGAAGCAAACGTCCATTATGTAGAAGTTGTAGAAAGTACTCCCGGAGACCCTTACATGCCTCCATGGAGGTCTGTCTCCTCTCCCACTTCACCCATCCCTTAAGCTGAAAACTGACAGGTTTGCCATTCATTTTCAGCCAAGGGGTTGAAACAACTGGGTATATTAAGATGTGTTACCTGTAGTTCATTGTTAATAATAACTACAAAAATAAAGTTGATACATGATTCCACTGTTTCATATCTAGTTGAGTTTATTGGAGGCTATCCTGGATGCTTTTTTTGTATCCTATATACTTAGTGGATGAGAAGGTGCTGCAGTGACAAGTATTCTGAGGGATTGCCAGAGACTCTCCATTCTTTTTTTTTTTTTTAAGATTTTATTTATTTGGAGAGACAGAGCACGCACAAGCGAACAGGCAGAGGGGCAGAGAGAGAGTGGGAGAGAGAGAATCTCAAGCAGATTCTGTGCTGAGCGCAGAGCCTGACATGGGGCTCGATCTCACAACCCAGATCATGATCTAAGCCAAAATCAAGAGTCAGACGCTTAACCTACTGAACCACCCAGGCCCCCGGAGACTCTCCATTCTTCATCTGCGCTGCCTCACACAGGACGTGTACTGGGTGACCCAGGAGAAAAATGGTTGGGAATCAGGCCAGTGACAGTCCCTTTCCCCTGGCTCCAGACGCCACTCTCCACCCCCACCACAGTGCCACAAACGCCATTTGCCTTGGATGCAACTACACTCCTCCCTTTCCACATTCCACCTAAAAGGCCCAGAGCAGTGGACATCACCGCACAATTTCAATTTCAGAGAAAGTAGGTGATGAGAGCTGCTGGGGAAGCACCACGCCTCCCCCCCATGTGTCCAGTGCCATATTGTGATTTCTGTCGGTGAGCACACCACCAGTCCTCACTCCGCCTTTGGGAAAACACCCTCCACACAGCGCTACCAATCGGCCTTTGCCAAACTTCACTTGGCCACTTCCTGTTTTTTTGGTAATCTTTTCTCTTTGTTTATCACATAGCCGAGTAATATTTATTGCAGAGCACCAGGAATATCACAGAAACTAAGGAAAAGTAAAATAAAATTCGCATAATCCCACCCCCGGAGAGAGACTCCCTGCATTTGGGGGCGGGGGATGTAGCTTTCTGTATCTTTGGAGATGTGAACATGCACACAGATCATTTTCCAAAAAAAAAACCAAAAGCAGAATCGCGTGATACATATTGTAACATGTCTTCCCACTCAAAGAACTCAGACATCTCTGTGTGTCAGTAAATATACTTCCATCATTATATTGTCACCACACTTAATTGCTGCATACTATTCCATTGTTTAGATGCACTATAATTATTTAACCTGTCTTCCACTGTGAAGATGTATAGGTTGGTTTCCAAGAGTTTGCTCTCACAAGCAGCATCCCAGTGAACAATTTTGTTGATGGATCTCCGTGCTCATGCAGGGATATTCCCATAGGATGCCTGACAGCAGAAGGATCGTTATATCCGGAGGCAAGCGCACTTTGGCAGCACTTAGTATGGACTGATGAATCGCCCTTCAGAAAAGTCACTGCAATGCATTCTCCCACCAGCTTCATCTGTAAGGGCCCATTTCCCCAGCATTTCTTGTGATTTCCTTTGATCAAAAAAAAATTAGTACTGCAGGAATTCATTTCAAGACAGGGTAATCCAGATAATGTTCTTATTATTGTTTCGCAAAGCTGGGGCTGAGAAAAGTGACTTTTATATTAGAATACAGTTAATTTAACTCTCTTCTTTACATTGACCTGGTATCAGCCTCTGAGCAATGAATTTAAGTCTTGTGAGGTTTCCCTTATGGCTAGGCAAGGCAAATGAATACTAGAAAGGGAGGAAAAAATCATGAACCACCACCTGGATAATTCACTCCTAAAATCCTGCTATGTGGACGGCGAGGGCAAGAAATGTACCTGGGCATCTTTACATTGACAAGTTTCAGCTTTGCAAATCAGCTGCCTATGCCACCAACAACGATTTTTTTTTACATAATTATTAAACATTTTTTTATTATGTTCATTTAGCCAGCATATAGTACATCATAAGTTTTTGTGTAGTGTTCAACGATTCATTAGTTGCATATAACACCCAGTGCTCATCACAACACATGGAACATAAGGAATACAGCAGAGGACCACAGGGGAAGGGAGGGAAAACTGAATGGGAAGAAATCAGAGAGGGAGACAAACTGTGAGAGACTCTGGACTCTGGGAAACAAACTGAGGGTTACAGAAGGGGGGGTGGGGGGATGGGGTAATCGGGTGATGGGCATTAAGGAGGGCATGTGTGGTGACCAACAATTATTAATATTTAATTCTTTGCTTTACTTTGAGTATGATGCTAATGAGAGCCTCCATTCATCAAATGCTTGCTGAGTCAGGATGTGGCAATGAATTTACTTGTCACAACAAGGTAAAAATTATTCCTCCACTCTGCTGAAGAAACTGAGGCCCAGAGAGGTTGAGTAATTTGTCTGAGATCACAGAGCCAGTCACCAGACAGAACCAGGGTCAAAGCTCGGGCCTGCTTGTCTCCAAAGCCCTTGCTAGTTCCACTGTATATATGGCCCCTCTTTGGTGTAGAGAAGGTCACCGCGCCGCTCAGGACCCCTCCAACCTGGTCAGAGATCTCAGATGAATGCACCGGCTTCCTGAAGCCTGGCTCCATTTGTAACAGTTGTACTAACACTTCTATCTTTCACTTGCCTTCCCATCAGGTGCCAGACAAGCCAATGAGGAGCATCAAGTATATGGACAAGGAAATAATAAACCTCAAAAAAGACCTTGCACGAAGCCGGTGAGTGAGGCCAGCAAGGAATAACCCAGGGGGACAACCTGACAGGGATAAGCAGGCTGTGGGGTGGTCCCTACAAGTCCTTGCCGAGTCCCATGTTTCCCCCAACCCTAAATGTTGGGCAAAAGACTTGCAGAAGGGTAACCCTTGGTTGGACTTTTTGGGGAGTACCTACACTGGACTTAACTCTCCACCCTTGCTCATGCCAGCCCCTGCCTAGAATTCCCTTTGTTTTCCTTCCTGCACCTGAGTCCAACTCAAGAGAGTTCCCACGTGCTCCAGAAAAATCTCTCCTTTCTACTCCAGGCGCACCACATGGTAGCCCAGAGTCAGATAGACTCAGTCTCAAACACTGACCCTGCTACCTGCGAGCTGGTAACAATGGAGAATTTGTTTAGCCTTCCCAAGCCTCTGTGTTCTCGCCTGTAAAATGAATATAATATGCGGTCGCTAGAAGGACCGGATGAAATAATGTATATAAAGTGCCCCCTTGCATAGCCTTAAACACAACGCCGTCCATTTCCTCCCCCCCACCCCCAACTCCTTCCTGCATTGACAGTGTGGGCCAACTGAGGTCCAGGACCATATCTTAGTCATCTCTGCGTGGTGAACTGAGCTTTTTCTCTCTCTCACCCCTTAACTCTGTTCTGGGAACTAGAACATTCCAAGGTGCGATCATAAATGGGACTCTTGGCAAAGCACCCCGAGGCAGAGTAAGGGACGGAGACTTTCACAAGGATGTGCAAAGAGGGCGTCATACAGGCATTGTGGACGGCCCGTTTATCTTACGTGCCCCCCCCTTCGAGCCAGACCACAGACAGAGTCAGGGCGACACATTCCCTTCCTTCCCCTCCCTCACCTGGAAGCCCCTCTGTCTCCACTGCCCACCTGCATCTCCACCCCTTCCCCGGCCAGCAGCACAGCTGATGGGACCGGATGGCTGAGCCCAACAGGAGGCTGGAAGGTGTGGGCATGGAAGGTGGGGGAGAAGGAAGGACACGGAAGGACTAAGGCAGGTACAGACATCCACGGCGCCTCAGAAACGTAATGCAAGCCGTGCATGTGCATTCAAGTTTTTGAATAGCCACACTGTTTTTTAAAAAAGCAAAAGAAACAGATGAAAGTAATTCTAATACTGTATTCTATTAACCCAAGATATCCAAAGTGTTCTCATTCACCACGTCCTCAGTATCAGAAGTATTCATGAAATGCTATATTCCATTTTTCAGACATGATGAAAAGTGACAAAGTGAAACGAGATGAGGAGTGACGAGTTTACACTTAGGGCACGTGTCAGTTTGGACCACCCACTTTTCAAGTGCTCAGTGGTTGTTACAGACTGAATTGTGTCGTCATTCCCCCCGCCCCAAATTCATATGTTGCAGCCCTAACCCCCAATGACTAAATTTGGAGATAAGACCACTAACGAGATAATTAAGGTTAAGTGGGGTCATAGAGGTGGGCTCCTGATTCATCAGGACTGGTGTCCTTATCCGAAGAGGAGGGGACATCAGGAAGGTACTGTCTACAAGCCAAGGAAGGAGCCCTCAGGAGAAACCAATCCTTACTGGCACCTTGATCTTGAGCTTCCAGGCTCCAAAATGGAAAAAATAAATGTCTCTTGCTTACGTCACTCAGTTTGTGGTATTCTATGATGACAGCCCAAGCAGACTAATTTAACAGTCAATGATGAAATAATCCTGCAGAGAATATCCCCAGCTCAAGAGCTGATGGACCTCAGTCTCAGACTCTCACGTGGAGCTGAGCTCAGGGATGGCATGTGAACTTGGGCTGCAGAATTGAGGGCTGAGATCCACAAGGACTCCTCTGTTAGTTGTGAACATATTGACCTCTACGGTGTTTGAACCCAGGCTAGAGGGCATTTGAGGCTGATTCCTTGGGAACCTTGGGGCCCTGGGGAATGGTGAGAGGTAGCGTCAGGAAGTCAAGAGTTACCTGAATGGGGGCAGCAGAGAAAGGGGATTGCACAGGTGAGGATGAGCACCTCAACAGGGATCTGGACTCTAATCCATGGTCATGACTGCAGGATATTCCAGGCTTCAGAAGGAATGGTGCAGCACAGAATTTGGATCAGAGGTGAGGTTCAAACTACAGAACCAGCCATATGTCATTGGGTACCAATCAATCAGAGCAGACACTGGCCATACCACCATTATGGCCAGGTTGGTTCTTACCAGCTGAATATGATCAGCCTTAACGTAGATGATTCTAACCCAAAGCCCCAGCTGCAAGTGCATACCAGAATCTCCAGAGCCTGAGAAATGAGAGTTTCCACAATAATCTGTATCCTGTATACAGACAGTTGATAACTAAAGGTACCACCAGATGGCTTGATCTATGTAAGTTCCAGCTACCAAGACTCAATCCAGGCCAAGAAGGTCAACAAGCAGTGCTGAGCCAGCTTGTACCCCAAACGGAGTGCTACATTTTCAGGAAATTTGCACCACTGTGTTGAAACACAGCTGTGGTTAAAAATTATAGACACTTACAATTAAATACATCATATTAAAGCAAAGGTCATGAAGACTAAAAAACCCCATCACTTCCTAACGATTTTGCACACTTCGCGGCTATGTGTGCTCCTGACGTTATTTCTGGTCAGGGCATCTGTGCGGTGGGCGCACTACCTAACGGGGGGCTGCTGCAATGTCTTCCCAGCTCCATGTTTACGGACATCACCCTGGTAGCTCGAAATCAGCCCCAGTGGAAATACCGATGGCACAGAAATCCACAAACGCCACAAATCAGGGCTTGTGTCCCCCCCACCCCCGAACAGAGAGACAGTTAAGCAATACCCCACACATCCCTGGGGACACACCCCCCCGAAAATGACCAAGATTGAACTTTGGACTAATCCAGCAGCATATAGGACTTTCGTCAAAAGGTGATAAAGACGGTGGCTTTCCTGCCACCCTTGAGTTGGCAAGCTGAGACTGGCTCTGGCCAGACGCATTTACCACGGCTCTGAGACTCGCTAGATTGAACATCCTCATTGGACAGGCTTAGCCTGTCCACATGCTGGACATGAAAGAGAATGTGGAAAAGGCCAGGCAGAAAAGCCACGAGCAAGAAAACAAGAAACGACAATAAAAGGTTCCACCTGGCCACACTCCCGCATCCCACTGACATTTGAGGGAAAGAGCGTGCGTCCCCTTCAGAAGGAAACACCCTGCTTTGCAGGGGAAATCACCTCTCCGAGAGATGCAGACCCCGCGCGTGCCCATCTCCCAGGACTAAATGAAGCGAATTATTAGCAAAGGAGATGTTGTCTTTTCCACTTACTGTGTTTCAGACCCGCTTCACCTCCTATTAGACTTTTGCCCACCACGCACCAAACACCTTGACTACCTCTTAGATTTTTATTTAGTACTTCAGCCCTCTTATAATTCAATTGCACCATCCCCAGTTTCATGGCCAGTTTAACATGATGCTAAAAAGAATAAAAATCTAACTGCTTTCCTCCTCGCCTGCTCCACCAGATGTTTGGTGGCACTGGGCTGCACGCTATGCATTCGCTTGCAGAATCTCTCCTAGTGGAAGTCGACAATCAGGGGCATCTGCCTGCACGCGCCCAGTTCTTGGATGACTCGCGCAGCCAATGACATATCTTCCTCCAAAGCTGCTGGTGCTTTATATTGCGAGTGTTTTAAGTAAAATAAACATCCCTGCAACGAAAACAACTGAAATGTTGACCTGAAGCCATGAGTTGCCCATGGCAAAGTTTAGTTAGGTATACAGGCAATTGCAAATAAACGGTGATGGATTACCCCCCTCCCCATGATCCCCAGCAGACCCCAGCAGGGTACAGATTACGAAAGTGTTTCTGAGGCCTGAGATGTTGCTTTATAGCTGCATTTGGTAGACAGCTGAAGCAAGGGAGTTAGAAATAACAAAGGTGGAATTTTGGCAAAGGAAGAAGCTATTTTTTTTTTTTTTTGTATGAGGTTAGGCACTTCTTCATTCCTCCTCAGTTTTCTGTGCTCATTCATTTTCCTCAACAAATATTGAATATCAGGTACTGCCAAGTATACACCAGGCATCATTGCATGTACTGGAGACACGGCAGTGAACACAACAGTCAAAATTCCTGTCCTTGGTGAATAAGGGGCAATGATGTGCATTAAAATTGGGCAAAGACAACAAACAAGTTAGCAAGTGCTTAAACAGGATTTGGGGGTTGGTGTCGGCTATATACTATAAGAATATAAAACAAGGTGATGTGCATAGTATGGTGATGGGGAGAAAGCTGCTACTTTAGCTAGAGTGGTCAGAGGCCATTCTGTAAAGGTCATGGTGAGCACTTGAGTCTTAGCCTAAGTGTAATGAGAACCCATTGGAGGGCCCTGAACAAGAGAAGGATATGATCTGATTTTTAAGAGAACATTCTATGTGCTGCGTAGAGCCCAGTTGAAAGGCTGTAAGAGCTGACAATGGCCTGGCAGGCAAATAGCAGTGAACTGGAGAGAAGTGGATGGATTCAGGATTTATTTGGAGCCACAGGACTGGCTAATGGATTGGATGTGAGGGACAAGGGAAAGGCAGGGTCAAGGTGTTACAATGACTTGTTTTTATCTCTTCCTCCCTCACTAGGATGTAAGATCAATCATAGGCTAGGCTATACCACGTCCACTGTCATGGTCCCCAAGTAAGTGTTGATGGGATGAAATCTTTATGAGTCGATGGTATTTAATAAAGGACCTTCATTTTGAGATATGGTTTGTGTGTGAGTTGGTATGTACAGTGAGTTTCTCCCAACTTTTTTTTTGTTGAAACAAGAAGAAATGAGACTAGTAATTTAATTAAAAGTTAGACCCAGGATGATAGATATGTGGCTCACGTACCCCCACTTCTCTCTCCTGTGCCCAAGGCAGACACCACTAGTGGATCACAGCACTCTTTCCATTTGAGCCCAGACTTGGTTTTGAAAATCCTCTCAACCCAGCACCCCAGACAGGCACCCCTGCTGACTTGAGTTGCTACCC